TCTTGCTACAAATGACAATGCAGGCAATGGAGCAAGAAGTTGAAAAAAATCACCTTATGGCTAGATCTTGCTATCAAATGACAATGCAGGCAAGGGAGCAAGGATAAAAACGAGTTGCAGATCAAGTGGACTTAGCTCGGTAGGAAAAGAAGATCAATGTTGTGAACCTCTGATATCCAAGTTTCCGACTAGCCGCTGCCGGCCACCTCCTTTTGTTTCCAAAAAAAATTCCGAAAACTTTCTTCCAAGTTCTAGTCATTTTTTCAATACTTTCAGCAATCTTTCAGTAATTTTCTATCCTCTAAATCTAATTTCTGGTCATCCTTTATGGCCAACCCAGAAATCAAATATTATTTCCTGAAAATTCAAAATATAGAATCATATCGGGCTCTTTCACTTGTGGGACTACACTTGTTTGGTCCCATTTGACACTAAACAAGTGCTACGAATTGACCTCTCTGGCCCCACCTTCCCAAGCCCATCTTTCACACACTTGTTTATGCCAAATGTATGAGATTTGGGTGATACCGTCTTTGGAACACTTTGTGTGATGTTACTAAGAGTGGAGAGATTATCGTGGATGGTATGCGGTGATTGCAACATAATTCTGCATCGCAATGAGCGTGTGGGCAGCCACTCTAACTGCACGGGGGAGAAGTAGAATTTTCATAAGTGATTGCGGACTATGAGTTAAATGACGCTGGATGTAATGGCTCTCTCTTTACTACGGAGTGGGAGGAGTTACTGAGAGGCATGATCGTGCCATGGTTGTTGAGGCTTGGGCAAGAGTGTTTGAGATTTTAACTGTTATGCACCTTCCTCGATATAAGTCAGACCATGCTCCCCGTGTCATTTAGTGTCAATTTTCGAGCATCCCTTTTTATTCTTCCTTCTAGAACATGTGGACTCGATAACACTCTTCCAGGACACTGTCAGGGATTCTTGGTTACAGTTGACTGGGCTCCTTGAGATGCGCATCCTAGAGGCCAAGCTCGACAAGATGCAACCATTTGAGGCAGTGGAACTGGGATGTGATTGGGAACGTCTTCTACTGCATGTCTGATGCTCAGGATTCTTTCTCGGATGCTGAGTAGGCCTATGACCTAGAAACCACTCTAGAGAACAAGATTGTGATGTGTCACTGCCAAATAGAGTATTAGTTTTGCCTCCTTACAGAAGAGGATTTCTGGAAGCATGAGGTTGTCGCCCGCTAGGTTGTTGAGAGCGACGACAATACCAAGTTCCTTTAGGAGGTTT